AGGCTGGTCTTGAACTTTTGACCTTAGGTAATCTGCCCGCCTCGGCCTCCCAAAGTGCTGAGATTACAGGGGTGAGCAACCATGCCCGGCCAGTTACCTATCCATTATCTCTAGAAACAAGCAGGGGTGGGGCCCTCCACTGCGACTGCCTGAGCTTAGCTTCCTCCATAGCGGGGGGTTCAGAATCCCACTCTTGGGCTCATGGTGGGCCCTGAGGAGTCTGTCAGTCAGTGAAGCCAGGGTGCAGTCAAGGGGGTTCTCACTTTGTCTGCCTGGCACAGGTCCCGGATCATTTCCTCAATGAAGAACTTGGACTTGCCGTAAGGGTTGGTACAGCCACCCGTGGGGTGGGCCTCGTCCAGGGGCAGGTATTGGGGGTTTCCATACACAGTGGCTGAGCTGCTGAACACGAGGTTCTTCACCCCATGGGCCCTCATGATCTGGTCATGGAGAGGTGGCATCAGTGGTCTATGCCTCACACATTACTCCCACCCTATTACTCTTCCACGGGAGGACTGGGCTGAGGTTATGGGCACTCTTATTTACAGATGGGGAAACTGAGGCTGGGAGGTAAAGATATGTGTCCAGGATGATACAGCTTGGGCTCTGTGTTTGGCACTGCCTCCTAGGCTGGGGCCCAGCTGGACACCCTTGTAGTGTCCATGCCTTGCCCCATGCCTCTCACCTCCAGAAGCTGGATGGTCCCAGTCAGGTTAACTCTGTAATAATCCAGAGGCTTCTGCACCGACTCGCCCACGGCCTTGAGCCCCGCAAAGTGGATGACCGCCACAAAGCTGTGCTGCAGGGGTGACATGGTCAGAGGTTACTCTACTGGCCTTAGTCCTTGGCAATGCCTGTGGCCTGCCTGCCTGCACCCTTTTTTTTTCTTGACAGCTCGTTCTGTTGCCCAAGCTGGAGTGCAGTGATGCCATCTCAGCTCACTGCAACCTCCACCTCCTGGAAGCCGTCTTCCCATACCAGCCTCCTCAGTAGCTGGGACCACAGGCATGGGCTACCACACCCAGCTAATTTTTGTATTTTTCTGTAGAGATGGGGTTTCACTGTTGCGCAGGCTGGTCTTGAACACCTGGGCTCAAGTAATCTGCTCACCTCAGCCTTCCAAAGTGCCGGGATTACAGGCGTGAGCCACCGGGCCCAGCCTGCACCCACCTTTTTGAAGAGACGCTGTAGGGCTGCCTGGTCCAAAATGTCCATCTCCTCAAACTCCACAGCACGGCCTGTCAGCTTCTGGACCCGCCGCAGGCTCTCAGGCATGGAGCCCCCTCCTGGTGGGGCACATGTAGGCCACATCATCATGAAGTAGGGTGCTGTGTTCCCAGGGACAAGCCAGACACACATCCCCCACTCAGTGGTAGAAGTGGAACCCAGGGTTTTGTTTCTACCATCCCCTCAAGAAGCCCCAGCCCCACTGCTGCTCACCACGAAAAGCGTTATGGAAGTTGTCGATGACCACAGGCGAGTAGCCAGCCTCCAGCAGCTCCAGCACCGTGTGGCTGCCGATGTAGCCAGCCCCACCTGTTACCAGCACCTTCTCTGCCATGGCACCTGGCCCGGGATACAGAGTCTCAGAGGTGGCTGAGGCTGCTGGCTTAGAGCTTCCTTCTCCCTGGAATCTGGCCCTCTAAGCTCACTTTGAAAGAAGGCAGCAGTGTGCCCTAGGTACCAGAATGGCTCAGAAGTCAGCCCTGGGGCAAGTCTGGATACCATTACTTTCTGGCCTTAGGCTTGCTAATAATTGTATAAACATCATGAGGCAGTGTGGGGGTTCAATGAGGTGACCTTAAGGGCCTGCCACAGCAGAGCTGGGGAGACTGACACACAGGCACCTTGTTTTCTAGTCCATTTGTCTTGGGGTTGGAAAGATGGAATCTGAGGATCCACACTGCCTTCTCCAAAGTGACTGAGGACTGCAGAGTCCTGGGCAGAAGGAAAATGGCAGCAGGATTGAGACTCCAGGGTCCTAGAAGGGGTTCTGTTGGCTCAGACCCAGGCCTGCCCAATGCCTCTGCCATGGGTAGGTGTAAACTGGCTCCTGGGCTCAGTGACTAATACCTCCTGCTCCAGGCGGCCCCTACTCCCTTTTCCTCAAGGGCCAGCTGGGAGGAAGCAGGAAATAGATCACATGGCCTCAAGGGTGAGGTCCTTTGCCAGGTAGGCTCAGCCTCTGCCCATGCCAGGGCCAGCCCGGTCACACTCTGGCTCGGAGTTAAGGATCTCGCCCAACTCTAGGCCGCCCTGGGTGGGCCATGTAGACGTGGACTTGGCCAGGTGCGCACCTCCACCCTGAACAAACTCTGCGGGCAGAAAGGGCGGGACCAGGAGGAAGCCCCAGACACTGAGGCCTTTCATTCCCAGCGTCCGAGCCCGCTGCCGCCTTTCTCCAGGCTGCCTCTGTTCCCTTCTGGGCTCACGCAGCTCCAACCCACTGGACCAATAGTGCTCTACGTGCCAGGCTCCGTCCCAGGCACTTCTGCATGATTTTCCTGAATTCCCCCAGCATCTCGGTGAGGCAGGTGTTATCACTGGCACTTTACAGATAAAGATACTAGGGTCACAGAGGTGAAGCAGTTTGCCTTCAGTCCCACAGCTGGCGACAGCGGGCTGGAATCCGGATCGCCAGGCTCGCAGCCCGGCCCCCTCCCAAGACGGCTCGCCCTTCCCCCACCGCTCCCTGCTGGACTCTGCCCGCCGCGCCGAAGCCGCCCCCACCCTCGCCTCGCGCTCGGCGCGGACCCCTAAGGTAGGTCGCAGAGAGGCCCTGGGAGGCAGGAAAGCTGGTCTGAAGCCCGCTGCGCCCCCGACCCGCGAAGTGACCTTGCTCAGCCGTCGCCCCCTCGGTTTTCCCAGTTTGTCTGCTGGAGGGAAGGGGCGCTGGGCCCCGAGCACTCGAGGGCGGTTGGGTCTCAGGCTGGGCATTGGGCCGTGGCGCGGAGCGGGACCGAGCTAGGAGTCCCCAGGCCGGGAATGAATGAACCCCAGCCGCCCCAGCCCAGGAAGCGGGGAACTGGGACGGAGGGACGCTGCCCGCAAAGCGGCCCGGCCCCTCGGAAATTCCCTCGCTACCCACGGACTCCCCGGCCCCCGGCGAGCCCACCCGGCCCTTCATTCCGCCTCCCGAACCTGCTCGGGTTCCCGCGCCCCGCGCTGGCTCCAGAGGCACCGCCTCCCGCGCCCGAGTGGCGGGCCCTTTAAGCGCTGACGGGCCACCCCGACCCCGCCCCTCCACGCCCCCAAGGAAACGTGTCACTCGGGTTACGGCCACTACGGGGACGACGGGAGGACAAAAGGCCTGCGCACTGTGACGGCGGTTGCGCGACGCGCGCGCCCGCTGAGGGCGGAACTGGGCGGTGTTACCCCTCGAGGGACGACGCTGGCGCCAAGTCCCCGAAGCGGGCGTGTCCTGCTGGTGCCCTGGGTCCCCGCGACAGCTCGTCCCAACCCCTGGAAGCAGCGCCGCGCTTCCGAGGGGGCAGGGGACAAAGGGTAGGGGGCCCGCGCCTGCCCCCCTCTGACCCGCAGGTTTTCAAACTTGCTGGTGTCTGAATTCAAAATCTTGAACTTCCCAATCCCATAGGACTAAGGCAGGAGCGGGGTCTTGGGTCAGTGGTTCTGGGACGTCCTGCTCGCAAATAAACCAAGGAGCTGGAGGAAGCTGTCAGGCCACACTAGAGGTGCCAGCGCCCTCGGCTCCCACCCTTACCGCGGCTCCCACCTGCCGGGAATGGTCTGCCTACACTCTGCCTGCCACGACGGCAGGTTAGCAAATGATTGTTTACAATGAAAAGTGGTAGGGCTAGAGAATAATATGCACCAAATGTGATGTACTGCGTGATGAAACCAGAGTAAAGGCGCCCTAAATGCACGAGCACGGAAGTGTTCCCCGCGGCTGGGAATCAGCGTCTGCCCACAGAGCCCGGGGCACCCACAGGTGAGAGCTCCCGGGCCTGTGAGAGCCAGGGAGTGACTGGGCCGCCGAGGTCCAAAGCAGGGGAGTTTGTGCAACAGCCCCGGTCACAGAGGCAAAGGTCAGAAACAACCCTGCTGGGTGTTCTGGCCAGCAAACTGTTGCAGGCAGCCTCCTGAATAAGCCACTGAATTCCAGTCACTATGGATTTGGGGCTGAGGTGGGGAAACAGGGAGGGAATACAAAGATTAATAAACTAGTTCAGTCTTCATTTTCCTCCCAGGGTGCAACATGGTAAAGTATTTTCCTCCTCCAGACTCATGTATACACACAGCTGCACAACCGAATGCTGGAATGATTCTGTGCCATTCAACCTTTAATTACATAAGCTGTTTTCAAAAATCACATTCAGCGTGGAGATTTTCCAGAGATGCTGGAGTTGGCAGAAGCTCTCCACTTTCCGCAAATGGCCTCTGCCAGGTTGGGAAGAATCTCCAGGACCTGTGTCCTGAGAAGTCAGAGTGCAATGGCCCCAAGGGCATGCCAGGGTGGAACTGTGTAGAGGTGGCCAGCTTGCAGATTCCATCCAGAGAGGAGACTCGAGGATCATGCCAAGTAGGGAATGGGGTTTCCACATGCCCTCAGGCATTCAACCCCTGGGCCAGGGTCTGTGAAGGGAGACTTCATCACAGCCCTCAAAGCCTCTTGCTCCTACTCAGGTCTGGCAGGAGAGCCTGAGGCCAAGCAGCTCCTCCTGCCCCTCGCCTGCTTTCTGCCAGGAGAGACCTCTGCGTAGAGCTGGCTGTGACGTACCTGCGCCGTTAACCTCATTCACATTTCCACGTCACCATCCATGAATCATCTGTGTGTGCCCCTATTTCTTTTTTTCTTTTTTGGGATGGAGTCTTGCTCTGTCTCCCAGGCTGGGGTGCAATGGTGTAATCTTGGCTCACTGCAACTTCCACCTCCTGGGTTCAAGCAATTCTCCTGCTTCAGCCTCCTGAGTAGCTGGGATTACAGGCGTCCACCACCACACCCAGCGAATTTTTGTATTTTTAGTAGAAATGGGGTTTCACCTTCTTGGCCAGGCTGGTCTTGAACTCCTGACCTTGTGATCCACCCACCTCGGCCTCCCAAAGTGCTGGGATTACAGGCATGAGCCACCCCGCCCGGCCTTGTGCCCCTATTTCCACACCATCCCCAGGGCTTCAGGTGGGCAAGGGGCTCAGAGTTTACAGGTAGCCTGAGCCACTTTGGAGCCAGTTTTTCTGTTCAGGGCTTGACAGATAAAGTTCCCAGCTTCCAGAAGCTTCTGGAGATTCACACCCTTTGAGAAATAAGTTAGAGGAAGCGGTAAGTCATGGTAAGCCCTCAACACCAGGGAAAATATCAGCATGGACAGACAACTGTTGATACTTAAAAAGTAAAGATGAAGATAAACAGGGTTTTTCCCTTGACAGCGGGACACCAGCTACCAGTGAGCTCCTGTCTGTCTGGCACCTGGGTTATTCCTCTGACTCCTGCTCGCGTAAGATGCCCAGTCTGTATAATGGTTTGTAGTGCCACTACCAGGGCACAGATCCCATCAGTCTTGTTCAGTGCTCCCTCTTCAGAGCCTAGCACAGGGCCTGGTCCACAGAGGTAAAAAACTGATATTCAAGTGAGGATGGTAAGGCAGAGAGGGAAGAATAAAAACACCAACTGAAAGGGTCAGGCAGAAACCCTCTGTTCACAGAGTAGCTCATATTTGCTGATGTGCACTCCATGCTCTGTGCTAAGCATTCCACGTATCTTTTTTTTTTGGAGACAGAGGTTTTGCTCGTTGCCCAGGCTGGAGTGCAGTGGCGCGATCTCAGCTCACTGTAACCTCTGCCTCCGGGGTTCAAGTGATTCTCCTGTCTCAGCCTCCCAAGTAGCTGAGGTTACAGGGTGCACCACCATGCCCATCTAATTTTTGTATTATTAGTAGAGACAGGGTTTCACCATGTTGGCCAGACTGGTCTCGAACTTTTGGCCTCAGGTGATCCACCTGCCTGGACTTCCCAAAGTGCTGGGATTACAGGTGTGAGCTATCATGCCTGGCCCTCTACATACGTTTTCTTACTTAATCCTCACAATGGCTCCATGAGACAGCTATTATTATTACCATTTCTTAGGTTCAGAGAGATGAAATAATGTGTCTGATTTCTCATAGCCTGTAAGTGGCAGGAGTAGGCTTTAAACCCAGTTCACTCTTACCCTCAAGCACAGATGCTATTCTGCTTCCATTCACCACTGAGGGCCCCAATGGACCCTGGCGGATCCCTGGCAAGCTAATGCTACTGTCCTTATTTTACATAGAATAAAACAAAGGGCAATAGAGAACTGACTCGTTTCAGGTCATGAACCTGACCCTTTCCAGGGCCCCTTCTGTATTCCCTGGTGCCTCCTAGGACTGAACTCTCAAAGTCACCCTGACACCCCAGCCTCCCTGTGGCCATGGGTGTGGCCTCACTCAACCCTACTCTCACAAACATTAAAACATTAGATCAAATATCCATAATCCCTGGTTCCCTTCCCCTCCTTTTTTTTTTTTTTTAAGAGACAGGGTCCCGCTCTTTCACCCAGGCTGGAGTACACTGGCAGGATCGTAGCTCACTGCAGCCTCAAACTCCTGGGCTCAAGGGACCCTCCAGCCTCAGCCTCTCAAAGTGCTGAGATTACAGGCATGAGCCACTGCGCGTGGCCAACCCTCTTCCTCTTTACTACTCAGCACCTTAACAGCCCCAAATACCCACATCCGCTTTTGTTCTCAGCTTCAGGCTGAGCCCTGGTCAGTTCAGGGCTGTCACCACCAGGGGGCGGATGGGCTTACCGTGTGAATGCCCAAGCCCTCTAACATGTAGACCAGGTCCTCGGTGGCCAAGTTTCCCAGTGCCCCCTGTGCATAGGGACAGCCTCCAAGTCCTGCCACAGACGAGTCCACGACACTCACTCCCATCTGGAAACATAAGGATGATGAAACACAGTTGTCACTGGGAACAAGAACCCACAGAGCTGGGCCTTGCAAACCTCCCAATAGTCTGTTGCCTGAAATTCCAGAGTCATTCTTTCCTTTGGTGTTTGATTCTGTGGACACAAAAGTCCCACCGAAACAGACAGTGCTTCTTCTTTTAGTTTCTGTTTCACTATTTCCTCTGCCGGCAGTATCTTTCCTTTCTTGGTGGACTCTCACCTTTTAGGTTCCAGTCTAAAAGCCACCTGTTCAGGGAGACCTTTTCTGATCACCAGCCTAACCCACTCCCAAAGCTGAGATTTCAGGCCCCTGTTGTTTACCGTGGTTCATTAATTACTCCCCACCCCACCCCACCTCCGCTGCTTACACCCCACCACCTCCAGGCTGCTGTCACTCAGTCAGGGCCTCACCACACTACAGCCACATCCCATGTTCCCAGGTCAGTCGCTTCCTACTCTCCCACTCTCCCAGATGACTATTTCACTTTCTTCTCTCTTCTTAAACCTCTATCACCCACTTCCCCATCCCCATTCTCCCCATGCGCATTCTCATCCGCTTCTTTATGGAAAGAGATGGAATCAGAAGAGACTGTCTCCATTGACTCCCACCATCTCATCTACCCACCTGCCTGCATCTGGGCCTACAGACCCACCGTCCCTCATGCTGCCTGGGATGGACCCCGAGCCCCTAGCCAAGGCCAACCCCTCCACCTCAGCGTGAGGCCCATTCCCACCTGCTCCAGCATGTGTCCAGTAAGTTTCTCCTCTCTCTCCTGCAACCTGTTCCTCGCCTCTACTGGGTCATCCTCACACAGCAGCCTGCGATCTCTCCCATCTTTTATAAACCCTTTTTGGGACCCTCTAACCTCCCATTTCTTTGCTCCCATTCAAAGCAAAGTTCCTCAAAAGAGCTGTTCCCACTTAACATCTGCCATTCTCACTTGAACCCATTCAAAACAGGTTTGAGTCCCCACAATTCCTCCACTGAAACAGCTCTAGTCACGGTTACTGGTGGCCTCCTTGTAGCTAAGTACAAAGGTCAAGTGGCCATCTTTGCACTTGACTCTCCGCATCATCTTGGACACCTCCTCCACGTGGCTTCAGGGCTCCACATCCCCCTGGTTTTCCTCCTATGGTGCTCTGGCCTCTCCTGAGGCCTCGATCCAGTCTTTGCTGGCTCTTCTTCACCTCCCTGATCTCTGAAGGTTGGAGCCCTTACTGCTCATTCCTCAGACAGCTTCTCCATCTCCACTCGCTCCCAAGTAACTGCACCCAGGTTAACATACCTGCCTATAGATGTCTCAAGCTTCACAGATCAGAACGCAAACTCCTGAGATCCAGTCATGCACCTGTGCCCTCCAGGCTCCCTTGCCACGTCTCTCACCTGGATTGCTGTAGGTCCAAACTGGTTCTTCTGTCTTTGTCTTTCTACAGTGTATTCTCTATACAGCAGCCAGAGGAGCAGAGGAGCCTCTGTTTTTTTGAAAGTTTTGCTCTATTGCCCAGGCTGGAGTGTAGTGGCATGATTTTGGCTCATTGCAACCTCTGCCTCTCAGGTTCAAGCAATTCTTGTGCCTCAGCCGCCCAAGTAGCTGGGATTACAGCTACTCCCCCGCCACTATGCCTGGCTAATTTTTTAGTAGAGATGGGGTTTCACCATGTTGGCCAGGCTGGTCTCGAACTCCAGACCTCAAGTGATCCATCTGCCTTGGCCACCAAAGTGCTGCGATTACAGGTATGAGCCACCATGCCCAGCTAAGGAGCCTCTTAAAGGGAACGTTTCAGATTATCTCCTTCCCTGCCCCTGCTAAAGACTCTCTGTTAGCTTCCCAGCTCAGTCTAAAACAGGCCCCACTGGATATGGCCTTCTAACCCTGACATCTCTGCCCCTCTCCTCGGTCACACTGCTCCTGCCACATGCCTCCTCATGTTCCTCTTCCCCCAGGGCTTTGCGCCTGCTTTCCTGGATGGGGCTCCCCTCCCTTCCCCTCCCTGCTAGGGGTCTGCAGAACTCTCTCAGATGCTACCTTCTGAGTGAGACCACTCTACAGGAAGACCTGGCACTCCCTTAACCTGCTTCATTTTTCTCCACAGTGCTTATGAGCACCTGCCCTGCTATATGCTTATTTATTATGTCTCTTCTTGCTAGACTGTCAGCCTCATGAGATCAGGACTCTGTTTTGGTCACAGCTGACTCCTCAATGCTGAGCGCAGAGCCTGGCACACAGAAGGAGTTAGGTTTTAACAGGTGAATAAATGGTCTTACAATTTGTTATTTACACACCTGTAATCTTCCATCCGTCTTCCCCACCCACCATGACATAAGCTCCCAGAGGGCAGGGACTGGGTCTTGTTTCTGTCATCTAAGTCAGCACTTAACCTGGCACATCAATCCATATTTCTCAGGGCAGGAAGAGGGAGGTCAGAGGAAGCTACTGCCAGACCTCACACAGCTCAACCTGTTCCCTGATAAATTTTCTTTTTTTTTCTTTTTTTTTTTTTTGAGACGGAGTTTCGCTCTTGTTATCCAGGCTGGAGTGCAATGGCGCGATCTTGGCTCACCGCAACCTCCGCCTCCTGGGTTCAGGCAATTCTCCTGCCTCAGCCTCCTGAGTAGCTGGGATTACAGGCACGCGCCACCATGCCCAGCTAATTTTTTGTATTTTTAGTAGAGACGGGGTTTCACCATGTTGACCAGGTTGGTCTCGATCTCTTGACCTCGTGATCCACCCGCCTCGGCCTCCCAAAGTGCTGGGATTACAGGCTTGAGCCACCGCGCCCGGCCTCCCTGATAAATTTTCAAAAAGGGGATTCTGAGACATCAGGTGCCATGAAACACAGAAGCACAGAGCAGCAGGAGTGTCCTGCGCCTGGTCAGGAAGAAGTTTTGCCTCAGACTCACCTCAGCTGTGCAGAAATCCCCTTTACCTGCCTGGCACGCCGTGGGAGAGGAAGTCACTCTCCCTACCTGCTTGGCCAGGAAACGCATGAGCTGAAGGAAAGCCCAGACGCAGGGCAGGGTGTCACAGTAAGCTGAGAAATGAGGGGACCACAGAGCTACCAACCTTACCCTTGACAGCCACAACTCTGAGGAAACAGCCCCAGAATGTAACAGACTCGCCTGATTCAGACATGAACCTCTAGGGGACAACTGAGAGGAAAAAAAAGGTGGCTGGGACTGCCATCGCTACCCTACAGATGGACGGTTAGGTCAGTGCTATGGCAAGGTCAGACACTAACAATGCTCCTTCTATCCGGCTGCCAGCCAATGATCCCCCTTTTGGGCCAGCCCACGACAAGCAAACCTCAAGGGAAACCAAATCTGAGGTCTTAGCTCAATCCGTGGGAAGCGGCATTAAAGCCTCTGCCTCTGAGTGACCTCTGCTGGCCTCTGTACCTCCCGTCTCCTCACCTGCTTCCGCTACACACACGCGCACACTCACAACCCTGTATGTTGTATGAGTCCTCCCTGAACCCCCATCAGTCCTGAGGTGAAGTTCTGCCCAGTCACCTTTCGTCTTTCCTTGCCAGCGGCTTACTTTATGTCCTTCAAGCTTCGCTCAGGCCTCTTCTGCATATCCTGCCTGATCTCCTCAGCTGGGATGGGGCCCCTCTAGGCTTCCTGGGCCCTGTGCTTCTTTCCTTCATAGCATCTGTCGTAATGCAGCAGGATTACCATGTAACTCCCTTGACTGTCTCCCCAACACAGAGGTGTACACTTCACATCTGGGGATCACGACGACTGTGTCCACCATTGCCAGCCCAGGACCTGGCATACTGGCATCAGTAAATGTTTGCTGAGAGAATAAATGATAATAAGCTGTCCTGCCCACCACGACCTTTGGGAGAATGACCATATGCCTTTGATTACCTGCAGGGCCATCAAGGTGTTGGCCAGGGCTTGGCCATAGGTGTCATGGCAGTGGACAGCCAGGGCAGCCAGAGGCACTTCCTGCATGACAGTAGACAGCATGTCTTTCATGGTCCCTGGGGTGCCCACACCAATGGTGTCCCCCAGGGAGATCTCATAACAGCCCATTGAGTACAGCTTCTTGGCGACCTAGGGAAGCAAGCAGGTACTTGGAGGATACAGAATCCATGAGCCAGGGGATCCAAGCACTCAGAAGCAGGGGGCCTGTGCCTGGGCAGAACACTTCTGTGTCTGCAAGTACTCAATTCCCACAGGATCACGTGCTCCTCACAACTCCGACTGGGAATGACGATCCTTATTCTATGATCAGGAGGCTGAGGCTTAAGGGGCAGAGCCAGCCACTGGAGCCAGCTCACAGTCCCGAGGCTCCAACTCCTGTTCTTTCTTCCCTGCCTGTGTCCCTCAGACTTCAGTCCTTCACTTACCACTGTCACATCAGACTGGCAGACCCAGGTGCTGGGATCAGTGAAGTTCATTCCTTTCATGTAGTTTTATCCTCAGCAATAAAATCCATGAAATTATGAGTCTGAGACGCTAGTTATATATTTTTTCTTTTTTCTTCTTTTTTTTGAGACAGGGTCTCACTGTCACTCAGGCTGGAGTGCAGTGGTGTGATCTCAGCTCACTGCAACCTCAGCCTCTCAGGCTCAAGCAATCCTCCCACCTCTGCCTCCCAAGCAGCTGAGACCAGAGGAGTGCGCCACCATGCCCGGGTAATAGTTACGATATATAAGGCCGGGCGTGGTGGCTCATGCCTGTAATCCAAGCACTTTGGAGGCCAAGGCAGGCGGATCACCTGAGGTCAGGAGTTCAAGACCAGCCTGACCAACACGATGAAACCTCGTTTAAAAAAAAAATTAATAATAGTTACATAATATATAAACTATATATAATTTTTTTTTTGAGATGGAGTCTTGCTCTGTCGCTCAGGCTGGAGTGTAGTAGTGCAATCTCAGCTCACTGAAATCTCTGTCTCCTGTTTTCAAGAGAGTCTCCTGTCTCAGCCTCCCAAGTAGCTGGGATTATAGGCACCTGCCACCATGCCCCACTAATTTTTTGTATTTTTAGTAGATATGTGGTTTCGCCATGTTGGCCAGGCTGGCTTGAACTACTGACCTCAGGTGATTCACACAATTCAGCCTCCCAAAGTGCTGGGATTACAGGCGTGAGCCACCACACCCAGCCAATAGTTATATTTTTTAATAGAGACACATCACTATTTAAATTTTTAGGAGCCCATTTGCACACCTCTAAAACCACTGCAAAATGGGAGCAGTATGCGCCTCACCCAAACCCAAGGAGCTGCTGCTGGCTAGGGGCTGCTGGACAAGGTACCGTGGGATGTGGTGGGGTTAGGGGACCAGAAGACACCAATGATCTGCTAGATAAATGAAATAGTGATGTCACTGCCCCCAATGGCCCTGCAGAGAGTGGGGCGGTAGTGGCTGGCCTTTAGGGGGTGGCAGGGTGCAGGGGAAGGAGCGGGCCTTTGAAATAATGAGATGCTGGGTTAAAGTCCTAGTTCTGCTGCTCACTAGCTGTGGGCCTTGGCAAGGAACTTAACTTTTCTGAGCTTCAATTTCTGCTTCTGAAAAATGGTGACGACCCTTTGGTCATATGGAGAGGACTGGTAGCAACTAAGGCTAAGATCTGGAGCGGGGCAGCATGCTCCTGCTCAAGGAACAGTTGCTACTGCTACCATCCCCCTATCTGGATGCCACCAAGTATCCTGGGAAGAAGCGGGCTTTGGATGGAGACAAAATGAGGTTTGAGACCTGATTTCCGCATTTGTAACCTGTATGGCAAATTATTCAGTGTCAGTTTCCTCAACTATAAAAGGGAATAATAATACCAAATTTGTACAGTGGTTTTGGAGACTAAATGACGTAAGTTCTTGGGCTGGTCAAACACAATTCCTGTATTCTGTTCTTCTCAGCATTGACCTAGTGACTGTTGAGAGGGTGTCAGGGTTGTGGCCTTTCAATCACTGCAAGGAGCTGTGGGAACCCCTGGGTAAGGAGCCAGGATCCTCAGAGGATCACCTCAATTACCAGACTGGAAACTGAATTGGAGGTTTTCAGGCTGGGGTAGAGGCCAGGGACTTCAAGGACTACATGTCTGGCTAGAAGGGGGACCTCCAGGGAGCAAGTACAGGGCTGTGCTCACATGGGATGGGGCGCTTACTGAAGGAGCTGGGTGAATGAATGAAATCAGGAACCTCCAGGAGAAGCGGGGGAGAGGAACCTCAGGAGTACGCGCTCAGGGGCAGACAAGGTGGCCAACCCTCACCAAACCCCCGACCCTGACACGTGCACACACCTCAGCTACTTTAGCCGGGGAGATCTTCCCTTCATAAGGGCAGCCAAGCACACAGGAGACGTACCTGTGGGAAGACAGAGGAGGAATGAGGTCAGTGTCCTGAGCCCTTTGGCCAGCAGGGCTGAGACAGGGCTGTTTAACAAATATTTCTGAGGCCGGGCGTGGTGGCTCAAGCCTGTAATCCCAGCACTTTGGGAGGCCGAGGCGGATGGATCACGAGGTCAAGAGATCGAGACCATCCTGGTCAACATGGTGAAACCCCGTCTCTACTAAAAATAACAAAAAATTAGCTGGGCATGGTGGCGCGTGCCTGTAATCCCAGCTACTCAGGAGGCTGAGGCAGGAGAATTGCCTGAACCCAGGAGGCGGAGGTTGCGGTGAGCCGAGATCGCGCCATTGCACTCCAGCCTGGGTAACATGAGTGAAACACCAAAAAAAAAAAAAAAAAAAAAAAAAAAAAAAAAAAAAAAAAAAAAAAACCAAATATTTCTGATCAGTGTGCAATCAACAACTGCAGTTGGGCAAAGGGCAGGGTGGTACAAGTCAGTGCCAGGAGGTGGCAGTAGAGAGCCATGGCAGGAAATGGGGGGTACAAGGGACCTACAGTTGAGGAAGTAGGGGTTGCACAGGCCTCAGGAGAGGCAGCCAAGGATTTACAATAAAGCAGAGGAGAAACAGCTAGAGAGGGCAAGGAGAGCAAGCAGCTGGGTTGTAGGGTGGGGAGATGGAGCAGAACTACATGCCAAGGGAGCAGGGGCCAGTACTTCCAGGAAGAGACCAAGGACTGGGTGAAACCACACTCATTACCAGAGCTGAGTTGGATATGAGTCAGTAACAGGCTGGACTGGCCTGAGGACCAAAGGATGAGCTGCCCCAGGGAGTTGCTAGAGGATTCATTCATTCATTTATTCACCTGATGTTTACTGAGTTGCCTCTTATGCGCCAGGCACTGGGCATACAGCAGTGGGCAAGACTGATAAGGTTCCCGCGCTCTCAGAGCTTATCTCAAGTTAAGGAGACAGACGATAAAAAAGCAACCAAATAAGTAACAGACAAAATCTCAGAAGTGATGTGCCGCAGAGCAAAGACGGGAAATGATGGAACAAGCAGAGGAGGCCAACTGTAGCGAGGGTCCAGGAAAGACCCCTCTGAGGGCAGGATGTTGAACCCAAGAGAAGGGGGGATCTGTGAGGAGCATTCCAGGCAAAGACAAGAGCCCAGGGAAAGCCTGGAGACAGAAGAGCCAGGCAGAACAAAGGATAGCTGAGACAGAGAGAGCAAGGGGCAAAGAAGTACGAGATGAGAAGGTCAGCGAGGTGGGCACAGGTCTGATCATGGGTCTTGTGGGTTATGGTAAGGAGTGTGGATTTTGGATCTAGACGACTTCTATTCCCACCTGCCCTGTTGGAGCTGAGGTATCTTTAAAACCCTTTAGAGTCAATCAAAGTATTCTGCATATTAAGAGGCATAATAAATGTTCAACAGATAAATAATTTCAGACTCAAAGATACCAGTGTACTTTTCCATTTTAATGCTCCCACTTATTCCCCAACCACTGCTGAGCAAGAGAAAGGTAAGTGAGATGCTGAGGAAGACAGAGATATGGGAGTCGGGCCAGTGTCACTGGAGCCCCCTGCTTCCCCATTCATCCACCTGCCCACCAGTGACTGGGTGCCCAACATCCTGAGGACAGGATGTTGAACCCATGAGAAGGGGGGATCTGTGTGCTAGGCCCTCAGCTGGGAGAGCAGAGCACCCAGGGACTGGGAGAGGTGAGGGCTTTGCCCTCATGGAGTGCATGGTCTAGTGAGGTGGGGCAGGGAGGGAATTTTAAAAGCAGCTAAGTGCTACATTAGAGGATGTCCAGACACTATGGGGTCCCAGAGAAGGGCGCTAACTCCAGCTGAAGGACTGGGGCAGCTCCTCAGAGGAACTGACTCCCACAGGAAGACCTGAAGGATGAGCAGGAATTATCCCCGAGAAGCATGATGATGTGGAGGATGTGTTTTTTTTTTGGAGACAGAGTCTCACTCTTTCGCCCATGCTGGAGTGCAGTGGCATGATTTTGGCTCACTTTAGCCTGGATCTCCCAGGCTCAGGTGATCCTCCCATCTTAGTTTCCCAAGTAGCTGGGACTACAG